TATATATATATATATATATATATATCTGACAAAAATAACTTAAGGACTTCTTGGTGGAAAGAGAAAGAGAACCATGCAGATTTAGGAAGCAGCAAGGACAAGATAAAGTTGCAAAGGCATATTCCCAGTGACCTACATCCTCCATCCAGGAAACCCATTTCACCTCTTCCCAGTAATGCATGGACCAGAACAGTCAGTCACCATTTTAGAGCCTTCACAATGTAATAGTCTTGGGAAGTTTCATCACAACCACACCCAGAGATGTATGTTATGAATGCCCTGGGCCTTTCTTAATCCAGGCAAGAAGACAGTGAAGACTGTCCCATTATGTTTGATCTGATGGCTATATACTATGCATTATCTGTCTCTGGAGTTCCTCCATCAGAAGTGCTAATGAAATCTTCAGACTAATTATTAGCCTTCCACTGCTTCCTTCTTTTCATTCTGGTGTTGTTGTTTTTAAGAATTATTATATTAGATGTAAGTTTGAGTTTATCATTTTATTTTATCTTCTATAACCTGTGACCCCTCTCTTTCCCTTGTCTCCAATGTCCCAAAGCCACCAGATCTAGTTTTGTTTCTCTGGTTGTGTTAAATATATTGTTGTATTAAATACACTGTTTCATTTTGGTGTATTTATTTTTACTTCCAATATTTGATATTTTTAAAAATCAGAGATGTCACATATTTGAAGTATTTGATTCTTATTGATTTAAACTGGGATTTTAACTTTCCTTAGATATTTCAGAATGAGATTTTTTTCTGTTTTCTACCAGATAGTTAAAGTATCTTAAGTTTGGGAGTTTGGTTTGTTTTCCTTGTCTTTAGTGGTTCTCTTTCACGGCTATCCATTAATTCATTGTTAGACGATTTTAAAATGTTGTGAGTTTGTTTTACTTTAGTTATACTTAACCTCTGTTAATTTTGAAGGCTTAATTTAGTGTGTCTCACTAAATCATACATAATCACTGTATGATTTGCCACAGAGACAAAAATCCATAAACATTTTTGTTCCAGGGTACAGTTCTTCCTTAACTTGGGGAAATCTGATCTTGAAGAATTACCTATCTGGCTGTCTCTTGAACCCAGGGCTATTGCCGGAACTGGGAGTCCTGATACTTTGGTTGGTTGACCTGAGTTACCCAGGATTTAGTCCATGCCCTGTTTGTTCTTCCTCTGTTTGCCAACTTCTTCCTATGGCTCCTGGATGTCTTTGTTCTTCTTCATCTTTGGAAGTTCCCTACAACTGTTTCAGTCCCAAACACTACTTTTAAGACTGTTTGGTGAAGAGATAGAGGAGCAGGTGGCCTGAGAGCTGGATCATTTGGGACTATACCCTACAATACTTCTAACATGAAGGGCCAGTCATGCCTCTGTCTACAGCACCAGATTCCTTAGAGCCCCGCAACATCTCTGGAACAGAAAGTGCTTATTACGGAGCCCCCAGCACTGGAATTAGATTGGTTCAATTCCTTTCCTTCATGTGCTAGGCTTCTGAGGGCTTCTAGAAAATTCCACTGTGTTATCAGATAATTAAACTATTTTAATAAAATATGAGCAAAAACACTGAGTTGTATATGAAAATGAGACTAGGCTTTACATTTATAAACTTCCCTGGAGAAAGGGCTTCCAAGCAGGTCATACACACATTCATTTCTCTTTTTCAGATTCATCCTTCTGACCTGTATTGTCTAAAACTGAAAGAAAAGCAGTCCATGGAAAGACTAGCAATTTGGGTATCCAAAACAAAACAAACAACTAACTAGATGTAATTAACTTCTATGGGCCTGTAAAATCTCGTGTGTATGATGAAGATAATTTTGAGCTCTCAGTTATTTGTGAGAATCAAATCAGTCAAATAAAATAACACATATGTAATTACTCATGTTGTCCAAAGCATAGTGGACGCTTGGATAGTATTCATTTTCTCCCTTCTTACAACATATTTGAGTTAATGTTACTAAATATATGTAGTTACTCATCATGATGTACAGCACACAGTAAAACTTATATAGTGTTCATTTTCCCCCTTCTTACATCTTTGAGCTATTATAACTAAATATATAATTCCCAATGACTTTTCTTGAAATTTTATTTGATATCCATTCATTTCTAGGGCAACCTATCAGTTTTATCTCTGTATTAAGAATTAATTTGAAACCATTCCAAAGGCTAGCTCCTCCCTATACAAATTAAGCTACTTTCTAGATAAGGGAAGTCAGGGCTGATTGCAGTTAAAAATGCGAGCAATGCTTGTGTACCTTTAGTCAGCATCTGGAATTGATCTTCAGAACTTTGATTAACAGAGCCAGCATGATGAATCCCAGATGTTTAAACATGGCTCAGCTTCCTAGACTGACCAGATCATGGGAGTGAAGACCTGGGAGGAGAGTAAACATAGAAAAGATCGAGGTGTCAAAATGGCCCAGGAGGTATTTGGATATCGGCTCAGTTGTGGGGGATGGGTGGTCTCTCTTTCTCTAATTGAGCACCCCCTTTCAGTTTTATGGGTATTATTAAAATGAAGGTCTGATAGTTACTCAGAAAGGCAGGCATGTGAGCCAAGCTTAGAATCAATTATGTAGGCTGTGATCATGAAGCAAGGAACTACCTCTTCCAGTGAAGGTTTTACAGAGGAGACATGAGGCTCAAGGTTTCTGGTCTTTCCAGGAGTTGCCCTTAGTTGTGCTCAAATGAGGCAGCATATTATAAGATCCATATATCATGAGGTAATTTTTCATGTAACATTGGTATTTTAAAGAGGTTCTGAAAGAAGAAGAAAAAAGAAAAAGAATAAAAGAAGAGGAGGAGGAAGAAGGGAAGGAGGAGGAGAAGAAACAAAGAAGAAGAAGAAGAGGAAGAGAAAGAGAAGTATTGGTTTTAGTGGTGGTGGTGGTAGTTTCTGAACAACCCAATTCAAAGCCACATTGGTAAAAATCAGATTAGTTATCTTATTATGGCTGTTGTTTTATTTAGTAAAACTTGTGGAAAGACAATAAGTAGTTTATTCATTCCCTCAAACCATGTTTCAAGCCGAGGAATGTGTTTGGTTGTGCACACTCTATGCTTACTTTCAGGCATGTCTTCTGTTGTAGCTAGAATATCAGAGGTGTTCTGAATTCAAAATTACTTTAATTTTTTAGGGAAATGGTTTTTTTGATGTGAGATTCCCCTCTGTATGCTGTGAATATATTTTTATTATAATTGGTTAATAAAGGAGTTGCTTTGGCCTAAGGCAGGGCAGAATAAAGCCAGGTGGGAAATCCAAACAGAGATATGGAGAGAGAGAGTAGGAGGAGTGAAAGAGACACCATGTTGCTGCCAAAGGAGACAGATGCCAGAACTTTACCAGTAGGCCACAATCTCATGGTGATACATTGATTAATATAAATAGGTTAAGATGTAAAAGTTAGTTAATAAAGAGTTTGAGCTAGTAGGCCAAACAGTGTTGTAGTTAATATAGTTCGTGTGTGATTATTTGGGTACGGGTGGCCAGGAACGAATGAGCAGTCTCTAGCTACAGTAAATTGTTGCTTTGTGATAAATCTGACCCATGTTTTCCCCCAGGAAATCAACTCAGTGTAAAAGTAAGAAGAAGTGCACCCTAAGAAGAGAATGTTAAATGCCTTGTTATTAGCAATTTTCAAAAGAATTAAAATGTGTTGAAAATAGTATCTTTCCAAAGGCATGGAATACTAAACTAGAGATGGTATTAAAACTCTAATTATTTTTAATTTTTTGATTACTCTTGAGGGTTTATATGCATGTGTGCACACATGTGGTTATGTGTGTGTGCACACACCATGGTTCAGATGTAGCAGGTAGAGGAATTTATAGAATTGATTTTTTTTCCTTCCACCTTAATAGGTGTTTTGAATGAAAATGGCCCCTATTGGCTCATATGTTTAAAATGCTTGGTCCCCAGCTGGTGAAACTTTTTGGGAAGAATTAGGATATGTGACCTTCTAAGAGAAAGTATGGCCTTGTTAGAGGAGGTGTTTCACTGTGGGTAGGGTTGAAGTTTTCAAAAGCCCATGCCATGCCAAGTCCCTCCCTCTTTCCCTCCTTCCCCTACTCCATGCCTGCAACTTGTGAATCAGATGTGGGCTCTCAGCTACTGCTCCAGCCCCATGTTAATCTGCCCACCACCTTGTTCCCAACCATGGTAGCCATGGACTAAACCTCTGAAAATGTAAGCAAGCTCCCAACTAATTGTCTCTCTTTGTAAGTTGTCTTGGTCATGGTGTCTTTTTAGAGCAATAGAATTTAGCTAAGACACTAGCTGAGTTCCAGGTATTGACTTCTGGTTGCCAGGCTTGATTGGGAAGCAGTTTGCCTGCTGAGTCATTTTGTCAGTCAATAAAATTCTTACATAACATTTGCACATTTGAGTCTCTTTTCTACTTCGTTTTCCTGGTCTTTCATTCCATATTCAGTATCATAACCCCTCTGTCTCTATCTGTAAACCACTTGTAAGGGTCTGCACACTACTTCTTTGCAATTACAGATTTACCTATCTGTAGGGCCCGGGTCTACCCTTTCTCCTGGGGTGCATCTTGAGGACAGTTTCTGTTCAGCCAGCTAAACATCCTGTTTGTTCCTGTGCTCCCACTGCCTCGCCTGGTGATTAGCTGTAGGGCATTGTTTCATCTTTGGTATGGTAATTTCTCACCTGCCTGGGCAGAAATCCTTGTGCAGCAGCTAGGTATATAAGGATTTCCCCAAAGTTGAATAAACGGCATTCGGCATTCGGCAGATCTCCTTTCGAATGACCCAGGTCTCTTGTGTGTTCTTTCAAACTCCAGGCCCTTGCCCAACTCGCGTAAGGTACAGTGGCGCGCAAACTGTACCTAGGGGGTAACACAGAATTGGGTGTTACACCTATCTACATATGCAGGAGCTGTCCACCAGAAAGTTCTGGCTGCTCTGTTTGCAAGAGACCCTTTAATTTCTTATTTTTTACAATTTCAGCTTAAAGAGCAAACCTGATGAAGAACTTCCCATTTCCTTCTTGGGTTGAAGAATTCACTTATTCCTTCCATATACATTACAGAATCACAAGCTTTTCATCATAGCAGTAAGTTCATGTTCCGGGTCTGTACCTCTCATTTTATTGTGAGATTCAGGGCAGAACCTAACCTTTTGATGTATACTCATCCATGCATCTCCAACTTACCATACTCACCCAGTTCCTGGTGAAGTGAATGCACTCAAATGTTTTCATCCTTGTGACAGCTTAAGATTTCATGATGTCTATCAATGCATTCTTTCTTTAGAGTCTTCAGCACACTGTTTTTACTCGGAACCAAAGTTCTTTCTTCATATCCCAGGTGAAATCTCACCCCTTCATGGGGACCCTCTTCTCTGAGTCCAGTGATTAATTTCGTGTTAGTTCATATTTTTCACAGTGCCCACCATGATTTATGTTTGTAGCTTGAATTTTTTTTATTACTCAGCAAGTAAGTTGAATGCCAGGACTGTGCCCTTCTGATCCCCATCAGATGTTGAGTAGAAAGATAGAGAAGCATTGCTGCTCAATTATGTGTATTTAACTTGATAGAGGTTCCACGTGTGAGTGGTTGCTTACTCCTCCTTCACATATATCACTAGATTTAGTTTGCCCCTGTGTATGTAAGGAATTTATTCTCTCCTATATGGGGTTTCAAGTCTTAAGTCTATGGAAATAAACCAACAATGAAGAAATTAAGAAGCGGCAAAGCATGCAAACTTATTTCAACGGCCTCATAGGAAAGAAAAGACTTCAGACCACAAGGAATCTCATTAGCTCATATACATGACTTCAAAGGGAAGAAAGAAGAGAGTCCCATTGAACATTTAGGGACAAAGTAAAGAATTTTTAGCGAAGATGAATGGTCCCAAGGACAAGGCAGGCATTTATGCCAGGTCCTCTGGGTTCTACATATGCCATTTGTTTTTCAACCATTTCTCCTTTGTAGGAGTTTAATATTCTTAAGTGAATGACATTTCAATAGAGAGAGTATATTTACTAGGGTTACTGTTTACTGTGATGCAATGCCATCACTAAAATCAATCTGGGGAGATAAGGGCTTATGTGTCTTATATCTCCACATTGTAGTCCATCACTGAAGGAAGTCAGGACAGGAACTCAAACAGGGTTGAAGCCTGGAGGCAGGAGCTTATGCAGAGGCCACAGAGGAGTGCTGCTTACTAGCTTGCTCCTTATGCCTTGCTCAGCTTGCTTTCTTATAAATACAACTAAGAACCACAAACCCAGGGATCATACAACCCTCAACGGGCTGGGCCCGTTCCCATCAATCACTAATTAATGAAACGTCCTATAGGCTTGTTGACAGCCTAATCTCATGAAGGTTTTTTCTTAATTGAGATTCTCTCCCCTCAGATGACTTTTGCTGTGCCAAGTTGACATAAAACTATCCAGCATAGAGACTAGCAGTGACTATGTTCATCTTGGATCTGAACTATAGGAAGGAGGGTCCTTCAGAAAAGAGCCCCATCTGGCACCTGCTATTACTCATCGCTTTTTCACTTAAACTGTCATCATAACTGTCAGAGTATTCTGGATAGAATTTATATGAATGCCCTCAGTTTCACGTACAGAGTAGCTGTGGTTCATCACTGCCATTCTTACACCTCCCCTCCTATAGGTATGGACGGATGAATATATAGCCTTTTTTCTATAAGTATCAGTATGTGTTTGCAGAGTGCTGGTCAATATCCAAGGGACAGACAGAGGCCTCCCATTGAAATGGTTTTATTATTCCCTCACTCTTTCAGGATACTGATGTGGGTTCCTATCCGTTTACAGGTTTAGACAGTGAAATGAGCCCTGGGGCAGCAGTAGTTAGGCAGTAATTCCCAAAAGCACTAAGGCCAATATCCTCCTGAAGCTCCTGTGTAGGGTTTCTGACTCTCCCCATCAGCCTGGAACTGCCAGAACTGCCTAGAGCTGCCTCAGACTCTCTGAGACTTCCTGAAACTGCTCTTCTGATGCTAAACTAAGAAAGAGAAATAATAGCTTTCCTGTCCTCTGTTCTTTCCCAGGACAATGAGCCATCAGTCACACCAATCCTTTCGTTAGCTAACACAGTTTTTAGTGATTGTTAGCGTGTTTCTTTCTGGAAGACAGGGTACTATGCTGGTGTTTCTAGACTATGCAATTCTGATCCCAATCATATAACCAGCCACTCCGTTTGGTGAGGAGCGTCATCTTTTCCATCCCTTTAAAGCTTTACCAGTGGAAGCCAAAAGATCTCAAGGTCATGATGTATCAGGACAATCCAAACATAAGAACATCAGCAAAAGGATGTATTTGCAGACACTAAGCAATGTGTTGTGGTATTAAATAGCACCAGAATGTATCTTGACAAAATAGGTCTGTGTGATATAGGGATTGTTTTGAGTTAAATACCATTGACATTCGCTGTAAGTGAGCAAAGATCTAAAAATAGGACAAACATTTCCTTGTATAAAGAAATTTTCCATGTATAAAATGTCTTACCCTAGCAACCAAGTAATTCTTGTTTACCATACTTTCTTATGATTTTCCCATAACTTGCCTCCTTTGGCCATATGTCCTCAGACTCCCTTCCTTTGTTAAAGTGCTCTATAGGTTCCCATTCTAATGGTCTTTTCAATGCTGGTTGCCCTCATGCTTCTATGCTTAATGAAGATATAAATACATGGGGCTGGAGAGATGGCTCAGAGGTTAAGAGCACTGGCTGCTCTTTCAGACGTCCTGAGTTCAATTCCCAGCAACCACATGGTGGCTCACAGCCATCTATAATGAGATCTGGTGCCTTCTTCTGGTGTGCAGGCATACATGCAAAATAGAACACTGTGTATGTAAATACATTCACTTGTTTTACCTTAGTTTTGCCTAGTGTAGTCCTTAGGGTGCTAGGTCAGAAGATCCATATGAAAGTAAATGGATTTGCTTTTGTTTTTCTTGTGAGACTAGAGGCTATTAATAATAACAAGAGGCAAGAACCTTCTAAGTGAAGGAAATCACATTTGCTATTGGGATCAGGGAGAAAGCTGTGAAACTAGCTGAAGGCCGCCCTCTTAGTAACACTTGAATATATGGAAGTGTGGCCATGGTGCGGGAGAATTGTTTGTATTCTGTCAATCATGTTTTAAATAAACGCTGATTGGCCAGGCAGGAAGTGTAGGTGGGAAAACCAGACAGGAAGTGGAAATGATGCAAGGAGAGCAGGAGAATTCTGGGGAGGAGGAAGTCAATTCCTCCCACTCCTGCCCAGATCACCAAAGAAGCAGAATGTGAGCTGCCCCACTGAAAAAGGTACTGAGCCACATGGCTAACATAGATCAGAAAAATGGGTTAATCAAGATGTGAGAGTTAGCCAGTAAGAGGCTAGACCTAATGGGCCAATCAGCTTCATAACTTACTGAGTCCTCTGTGGTTGATTTTCTCTGGGACTAAACAGCTGGCTGTGGGGGGCTAGGCAGGACAGAAAATCAAACAAGAAAGCCTCCATTATGTAACATGGCCAGAATACACAGGTAGGTGGAATAGTAGTGTACTTAACAGCAGAGTTAAGAGGAAGAATGATGTATGGCTCTGGGAAGGAAATGGTACATTATTGCTGGAACAAAACATCCTTGATGGTCAAATGGAAGACTTACTGAGTTGGCCACAGAAATATGGGTAGGAAAGGTGTGATGTGGCTGGAGACTCCCAAAAGCTCCTCAAAGAGAAGCTTTTCATTAAGAGCAATGAAAAAGAAAGAATATGCTGACCTAGAATAGAAAAACTTCTATTTTCTATTGAAGTTGTGTTGTGGCAGCATCTAACAAGCCTCTGGTTCCTGGTGCAGAGGTCAGCATGGCCACACCATGTCTAACCTGTGGGATTAAGATTTCTGTGACATCCCAGAGTGCAACTGTTTTCTGTCTTATAAGTAAGTTTTTGGACTTCTCTTCACAGTTAGAACATGGCTTAGCAAAGCTGCCTTGCCTGCTCAGAGGTTTTGTGAGCATTCTTTCTGTCAGGTGCAGAAAGTTTTGCTTGACAAGAAAGAGTTTCCATTGGTTTCATTGGGGCATGCATCTATTCTTAAGACTCACATTTATCTTTTAATTGGGAAAATAATGTCTCTTTACACATAGCAGGTGTCAGAGGAGAAAAATAGTTCGCAAGTGGTTTTTAACTTCTCATTTTATCCTCTTCAAAACACCATGAGAATGACTCTACTTTTTTGTTTGTTTATTTGTTGCTTTTTCTGAGACAGGGTTTCTCTGTGTTACAGTCCTGACTGTCCTGGAACTCACTCTGTAGACCAGGCCCGCCTTGAACTCAGAGATTACCTGTCTGTACCTCCAAAGTGCTGGGATAAAAGGCGTGTGCCACTGCCTGGCGACTCATGATCTTATAGGTAAGAACCAAGGTGCCTTGTATAACGTCATCAAATTATATGTGAAACTAAATAATAATTATAAAGGCCAATTATCCCTTAAAGACCCATGGCAGTGAAGCCCCCTGCCATATTTACCACAAGGAACCAAATATAAACATTTTGTGTCAGAATCCAGGTCCTGCAACATGACCAGCAAGAAAGTCTTTTGCAGTCAGTTGATACCTGTGTAGTCAGAGCAAATTACTCAGATTTTCTTAGCCTTTCTTTCTGGTAGAATGGTGATCCTTATCACTGAAGACTGAAAACTGCTGTCAGTAAGAATTGTGTGAGTTCATGGGATGGCACAGCGGGTGAGGCATTTGCTGCTCAGGCTGACAGTCTAGGTTAATCATGGAACCTGTGTGGTAGATGAGGAAAGCAGACTGTCCTCTGATTTCCACGTATGCATTGCGGTTTGTATATGTGTGCACACACTCACACAAGCCCCCCCCCCAATATTTTTTAAAAGTTAATAGACTGCATTACATTTTTTGTTTATCCAGCACCATGCTGTTTTCTACATGTCATTATTCAGTTAATTCTTATAATAGCTCCAGGGTAGAAACTAATCGTAGTTTTCTTTTGAGGAGAAAATTGAAAGTTCTGCCATAGTCATTTATCTAATTTCAAAACTAACCAGTGCTCATACTGAGACCCAGACCTTTGGGCTGGTATTAGGCAGATGTTCATCTCTACCACTTCCTACCATTTCTGTGCAGATAAAGAACCTCCTATGGGACCTGGAATGTAGTAAACTCCAAATATAAAGTAATGCTACCATTTTCTCTTTGTTCTCAAACCAAATTATATCATCACTGATATGACAAACATGCCTGATGAACTATTTATTGACCTAACATTTTAGCAAAAACTGTTGCACGGTGTCGAATCAGAAAGAAGATATATTTTAAAAGTTTTATTCCAGTATTAAGGTACAACATGTATTTGAGAAGAGATGAGAAGGTTGGGTGGGGAGCCGGATGAGGAAGTAAAGCAGAAGTAAAAGAAGGGTTTCAAAAGCAGTGTCATTGCAGATAAGCCAGTACAATGGAGGCAGAGTTGGGAAGGTTACAAGCTCGAAGTCAGCTGTATAATGTAGCAAATTCCTGTTCCAAACAAAAGGAAATCAAATAAAAGGACTAAGAAAATACATCAGTGATGGAGTTCCTCCTGCCTGTGGGAGACCCTGAGTTTGATTCCACAAAGGAGAAAAGGCCAAATAAAGAAATAGCAATGGTGATGATAGTAAACAGATGAAGTGTCATCAAGTCACTTTTTTTTTTTTGCCATCTTTCCCAATGCACTGGGAATGCAGTGGCTGCCAGGGACTGGACGTCAGGCGTGGGAATTTGTGTTTTAAGCAAGAAACGATTACGCTGCTTTGTGAGTGAAATGTCTTACTGTGCACACTCACTGCAGGGATGTTGTAAATTCCATATCAAATGTGTTGACTACCTGAGCTCTGGCAGGAATTCAAGGGAGAGCCTTAGGGAGACAAGAAAAGCAGTCTTGCTTAAATTAGGAACCGTCGATGCTTAAGGACTCTAGCAAAAATATTTTTACTTACAGGGGTGTTTGTAGCAGACTGTAACTTCTAGGGTACCGTGAATACATCTGCCATCATGCTAGTTGGTAGGAAAGAAACCTTGAATTAGGAAAAACAAAGGACTTTGTTTCACTGGAGATGAGTTACAGTCAATTTCTGGAAGTTCTTTGGAGCCTTGAACTAGACGTTAGTAAGTACCACAGCAAGATAGACAAGACTGTCATCTCGATGACTAATTTCCATTATCAACTGACCTTGATTTAGAATCTCCACGAAAATATGTGAGGGTATTCCCAGAGAAGTTTCATTCAGGAGGAAGGATGGACCCTGAATGAAGAAGAAACCATTCCTTGGGCTTGGGTCCCCAACTGAGCATGTAAGCAAGGTGCTTCCTGACTGAAGTTGGAATGTACCCAGCTTCTTCATGTGCCTGCAGTGATTGCTAAGGTGCCACCATGGACTAGACCCTAAGACTATAAGCCCAAGTAAATCATCTTGTCCTGAAGTTACTGTTGGATGAGTATTTGGTCAGAGCAATAAAGTAACAGAGCATGCCAACGGAGAGAGCCTTTTGTAACACTTCCATGTTGTTGCAAGAAGACCATGGATTCAGAGTGCCAGTAACCAGGTCCTCAAGGCTGTGCAGTTCAATGTGAGTACCTGCTCTCCTGCTTCCTACTCTGTTGAAGCTTCATGGGATGCTATTCTAAATTAAGTCAAGCCTCCAAATTATATCCACTTTATTGTGTTGGTTGCTGGTATCTGTTGAAGTGTTCAGAGCTTATAGTTCCCCAGAAAACCCTGGAGTTCTGACCCAAGCTCCAGGCAGTTGTACTGCTCAGAACTTCTTCTGCCTGATGGATGCTAACTTTCTTAAAGACAGATGTCATTGGATGAAGATTAAATGTCATCACACATGATTAACTGAACATTTAGTTGAGTCCACATTTAAAGATTTCATAACCAGGATGCAAACCTTATACCGTTTTGACATGGTTTTTAGAAAGATGGAAATTAAATTACCTAGGGAATTGAAGATCTGTCTACACACAAACAGGCTTGATTGCCATGGTAGACTCCTTGTGATGTTTCCTTGCACTGAACTGACCAATGTTTTGACTGACTCAACTTGGCACACTAATCATTTTCATGCTTTATTGGTTACAGAAGTTGTGTCTGTATCCAATGTGGACATGGTGCATATTAAGTCACTCTAGCAAAAAGAAGCTGAGAGCAAGGTTGGCTTACCCAGAAAGTTCACATTATAAGGTGTTATGGCCTTGTCCATATTCAGACTTTTCAGGGACCAGAGACGTTATCCAGCAACTGATGGGAGCGGATGCAGAGTCTCACAGCCAAAGTTAGGTAACAGTATGGGAGTCCTGTGGAGGAGGGAGAGGAAGGATCAGAGACACCAGAGGGTCAGGGGCATCATGAGAATATGGCCAAAAGAGTCACCTAGCTGGGACTACCAGGGGCCCACAGAGATCAGGGATCCTGTAGGGATCTGACCTAGTTCCTCTGCATATGTGTTATGGCTGAGTGTCTTGGTATCCTTGTAGAATTCCTAAACATGGAGCCAGGGCCAGTTGATGACACTTTGCCTATGTGGGACCCTTCCCTCCTACTGCGTTGTCTCACCCAGCCTTGATGGGATAGTATGTACCTGGCTTTATGGTAGTTGATCATGCCGAGTTTGGTTGATGTCACTGGAAGGCCTGTTCTTCTCTCATGGGAGATGCAGAGAGGTGGGGGCAAGGAACTGAGGAGGGGGAACGGTGGTCGGGATGTAATCTGTGACAGGAGAATTCAAAAAAGCAGCAGAAGAAAATCCCTCATTGGACCCTTTCCCATGAATAATTTCAGTTGAAAAGATTAATCAATAGCATGGATAGTCTAACAAAATCACATTTTTATTTTTTAAAAGTAAAATATATCAACATCATTTTCACTCCTTCTCTTTCCATCTCCAACATACTGCACTATCTTTGCTCCCTCTTAAATTGATGGCTTGGTTTCCATATATATGAAAACACACACACACACACACACACACACACACACACACATACATACACACACACATATATGCGTATATATACACACATATATACGTATCTATGTATGAATGCATATATATAGACCATATATAAGTATGAAATATATGATTATATATTTGAAATGTATGAATATACTCATAAATATAGTAATACTATTTACTCAGTCTGCTTAGGCTTACTGGTGTGTATTTGATTTTCAGGCTGACCCCTGGGTACTGGACACACAGCTAGGTGCCCCACCCCTGGGGAAGGCTGTTTGTTCCACCCACGGTATTCTTTCCTTGTCTGTAGTTCTTTGTGTTGGCATGTGACCCCATGGATTTCTCCCTTCCATAGCATGGCCTACTTTTTATGGGAGGCATCTCTTTATTTGGTGTGTCTTCCACTTCCTTGCATGCTAGTAACACATATATACTTCCTCTGAATGATATCCTAAATAAAAAATTTGAGCTGCAGAAAATACTGGATTGTTTGACCTCTAAAGAAAAACTATTGGCAGCTTTTGAGCGAAAACAGAATTATAATAGGAACCATCACACACTCCTCAGCTGCTGCGAGCGGCCTCGCCGCCACAATCACCCGATGTTAACGCAGCAGGAGAGCCTGGCTGAGATTCCACATGGCCCTAGACCCCTTGATTTCTTTTCTCACCGTAGGCAAATATTGCCTTTCCCCGTGTCCCAGGGCTCAGGAGGCAGCATTAGTCCTTCTGGATCTATTTCTAGCTATTTATCTTTTCACGTTCCCATATTTCAATTCTCATATTTCATTCTCTCTGCTTCTGTGTTTATTTTCAAGGCAGGACTGGGTATTAAATGAAAAGCTGAGGATGTAGTTAATGCTTTTGAACACACATCATATTCTACTATAGAGACTTTGCACACATTATTTCTAATAAAAAGCTCTTATAGGTACAGTGTGAACATGCGTATTTTAAAATCATGCCAGCTGAGGCTCGGAGACTAAGGAAAGTGTCCAGTGCTGTATAGCCGCCTTGTAGCACAGTTGACAGGACTTCTGGATGGCAGCCTTCCTTCTGGGGCTGTCACTGTCCTTGCTAGGCTCTCACCTGTCCACCTGCTCTGACTTAACATCAACTACAGGCACAGGCCTGAAGCACTGCTCTCTCCCTGAAGACCAGGGACCTTTGATCTTTATCTCAGGAGAAGTTTCTTCTTTGATTTAGTTGCCTTTTCCCAGACTGTCCAGAAACTGTTTCCCTAAGTAGGAACCCATTAGACTGTGTACTCCTGCCTGACCTCAAAGGCTTAGCTCTTTGCACCCTGCAGCATTCCCTATCAGTGTGATTAATCAGTCATTGCCTCCCCACCAGACACAGCAGGCTACAGCAAAGTTTGATCTTGGTTGGCTGTGTTTCGTGGAAATGATCTCAGACTTCCAATTCAAAATTTCTGATTGACCTCAGCTATTCCTTAGCCGTTCTCTCCCAAGATGTTCTTTCTGTTAGCTGGAACACAGTTGTAAGAAACTTTGCATTTTGGAGCTGAAAAAGATCCAAAATAAGGTTTGTGTCCCTCTAGGCGAGTCTCTCAAGAATGACACACAGAACTACAATGATGGGCTTGCTGGTCTGGAGACCTGCTTCCCACTGCCATAGTTAACTGACTGGAATCATCATGCCACCTCAGGCAAAGCTATGACTAAGCTATGGGAGGGAACAACTTAGGGTGGAAAGTTGTATCTGGGCTCACAGAGCCAGAATTTTCAGTCCAGTTTTGGCTCTGTTGACTCCAAGTCAACGGTAAGGCAGAACATGATGGTAGTGGAATCATGGCGAGGAAGAGCTTGTTTTCTTCATGGAGGGAGCCCAGAAGCAGGAAGAGTAACAGGAAGGGGTCAAGACAGGATGTGTCCCCCTGGACAACATACCACAGAAAACAGGAATGAAATAGGTCATTGACCTCCATGCTATTTTCAACGTCTAGGTCTTCCATAGATCACTCCTATCGATAAAACCTGAACTACAGGAGAATCTTACTTGCAGGATAGAGCTAGAACTATTCAGGTTTACATTGTTGTTTGCGCAGAAACCCAGTCAGTAATGCAGGTGGGGTTGAAGAGAAGTAGATCAGCTTTCTATATACAGTAAAAAGGGTGTTTGGTAAAGATTGGATCTCACATTTTTTTTGAAGTATAATGTAGAATTTTCACAACAAATACATTCCTCAATTATCAGTATGATTGGTGTCTTTTTATACTGGATGGGTCAGATATTTTTGCCTTACTGATTTTATAGTTTAAGAAACAATTTTTCTTTATTTAATACCAAGTGATTTGGAAGATAGCTATTGCCTTGCTGAGTCCAGTAGAGGGAAGCAATGAGTAGAATTCCAGACCTTTTTTTACTGTAAAGAAGCTGGAATGGGGGAGGAAGATGAATATTGTTGGGAAAGTGCTAGACTTATGCTACAACTCATAAGAAACCATAAGTCACACAGAGAATTTAGTCCTTCTGTTAGTTATTGTAGAAGAGCCAAATTAACAGTGTAATAACCAAACAGCTTATGAAGCAGGTTTCAGAAAGATGAATGATAATGATACAAATTAAACTGACAATAAATAGCATTAAAATTAACATATAAGCTTTTTTATATATTTCAAAATGAAGATTGAGACTCAGTGTCCCTTAATCAAGCAGTTATGGAAAAAGTTCTTTACAGGGTAAGAAGGGACAGGGAGTCCGTATATAAGAATTTTTGTCCTGAAATTATTTTGTTAATTGGGCTCCACATCAGTCACCTGAAGCAGCTTTTTAAATGACTCAATTGTAGCTCTTCCAGCAAAGCTGTATGCCTAATTATCACTCTCTGAAGAATAACTCAGTTTTAAGAATTGAATCTAAATATAACACCAGATTCTGATATATGTATATGTATAACAGAAAGTGTACACACATACACATATATACATACAGACAGATGCACACATACAACACACACACACACAGTATATATCTGTTTTGTTTTCCTTTACTCTCTTGTCTAATGCTTCTAGACAGAAAATATTATTATCCTGCTCTGTCCTATAGTCTTAAATTAAGACTGCTTTAGTTTTATTTTCAACTGGACTAGCATTTTAAAACTCTGAATCTTGGAAATTTTTAAAAAACGTAAGAGGTTAGTATAAGTCAGTTGTTAAGCTAGTTATAGTTCATTTAATTTTCTCCCAAATTTTTTTTTGTGGTGGATTTCTCTTTCATTGGATAAATTTTGCAGTTATTCATTACCCTTTGAATACCACTGTAATTACCATCAAAATAAAAACTGTAGGGGTCGTCCTTCCACGCCACCCACATCCCACGAGTTCCATATTGTCCTAGGGGTTAAAGCATAAGACGCACACACACAGATACAGAGTTCCAGTCATCCTCAAGAAGAGAATGCCCCTTTATTCAACTAAATCCAGGGTTAAAATACCTTTGGCCCCAGTAAAGAAAAACTCCTCCCACCCAGAGGGGGCTGGGGAAACTGGCCTCTGTGGGAGTTTTTCCCCAGGCAGGTGGTCGAGGTTTAAGGCAATGTCAGACAGGTTAGATGGGCCTTGGGGCCTGAGCTTCTTTGAGGCAGGTTGAGAAATTACCATTTTAAAGTAAAATAGATCCCTCAGGCTAATGTACCAGGCTGTAGCAGAACCAAGGACAGAACTAGCAGGAAGCTTAGCTGGTTAGCGTAAACATTACTTGCATCCAGTATTTTGGCCTCAAGGATCATGGAGGACAGGGTCCCACAAAAAACAACATTCTGGACTTGAAAACATGCATGCTGAGTAAGTATTACTACTATCAAATATAGCTAGATGATTACTTCTTTCCCATAAAATCACAAACGGAGTTTGGCTTATTGACCAGATTTCTTGAGTTATGTTTCCTATAAGCAGAACCTGAGACAAGACTGAAGAACAGATCAACTGAGATAGTACTATTAAAAAAGTATAAAGGAGAAATTTAAGCAGGAAAGAGATGGTGATGGGAGAAACAGTGGTCCTCTGTGGGGCAAGACAGTTCCGTGGACAGGAGGAGAACTCTGCATCTTTAGCACCCACACTCACAGGAGCTGGTGGATGGGTAAACTGAGGATGAGGGCTGTGGTCTACCACATTATTGCGTTCAATAGGGGAAAAAGGCTGTATTATCAGCAACAATCTTATTGATTGTGATAATTTCTCATTTCTTGTCTAGTCTTCTAAGTAGAAGGCATTCAGAATGAACAGTCAAAAGGTAAGTGAAACTGTACAGTCTATATGAGAGTGATCCTCAATCAAAGACTAGTCCATCTGTATGTAGACCAATGCATATGACAAGACCATGATCAAGAGTTGATCTGGTCAGATTACTTAGTTTGAATATTTGAAATAGGCAGGGAGAAGTTAAAAAAAATCACAGTAGAAATGATGACAGAATATAGAGGCTTTTGAGAAAAGCAGACCCTGTGAGTGGTTGTCACCCCCAAAATAGAATAGAGGCAAATAACAAAAACTGAGTGAAGAAGAAATTTGCTGGAGAAATGGAGATGGCAGACACATCAGGAATAGAGAGAGTTACTCAAGTAGATGTTAGGTCCAAAGACTAAAATGTCCTCATCCTGGGGTGCATCTTTTTCCTTCGTGGTGTGTTTGCAAAGATTTGGAAGAACATGCTCAGAGAAGACCAAGCTAGAAAATTATCAGATTACTGTTGAGAAAATGTACATATCACTATTTGTATTGCCCTGTTTTATCCACCCCGACTGTGCCCCTTATTTCTAAAAGTTCTGTGTTAATACAGTTGAAGACTCCTAGAAGCCCAAATGTTTGCAAAACTACCATTGTATGTATATATTTGAGTATGATCTCTGAACCCACTTAGAGCCCCCCAGAACAGAAACGTGACTAAGTCATGAGGTGAAGAAATAGTTGATGGTTGATGTCTGGACTACACGATGTCATTTGTTAAGTACTTTGAAGAGAAGGATAGAGGTGTGTCAAGGATTCCAAATGAGGAACAAGGAAGATCCTTGTCAATCACGGAGGGATTTCTATAGGATCAGAAACATAAAGCTGGACAAAGGAGAGACTTGGTCAGTAGCAACACGGAAGAGCTTTGTTGCCTTATCCCATGTAGCAGAGTACTTTTTGTTACATTGTAAAATTTCTAAAACTGGTAATTTAGAAGAGGGGAGACTCTTGTTATCATAATTTATTCCTTTTTATTAATTGGGATCTCCTATGAAAGATAATAAATACATAAAGTTTATATACTGACTTTTTTTTCTTTTTGGTTAAGCAGAGTGTTCAACTCTCCAACATTTGTAATATCTTCTTTGACATTTAAATGACCACCTGCTTGGCCCTGCAAACATTCTGCACACTAGGTTGTACTGTAAGAAAACATCTACTTAGAAGCCCACTCTTGTGAGGTCAAGAGTAGCTTAGAAAAATTGCTTCTGAAGTTTGCTTTTCTGCTTATGTCAGCTGATTCGCCACACGGCATCAAAACAGGTCTCAAGGTAATGAGCAGCCTGGAAATAAATAACAAAATAAGTAAAATGCCAACCACCAAAGATGAAATGGACAGGTTGAAAACGGAGTAGCATGCTGACCTTCAGTGCCCCCAGCAAGAGTACCTTTGAGGATAGAATTCTGTGGTTAGAAAAGAGTTCCCTTCTGGTGAGCAGGGACTTAGTAGTGTGCTCTGGCTTCCAGCTTTTCAGTTCACCTAGACTCTGCGAATGTCCAGGAGAAAAAAAATGCACACCCATCGCTCTATCTTTGCTAACTGCAGAGCTACAGAATCTGTAGTGACAGGTGGGAAGCTTTCCCTGGCCCCACTGAGTTTTGTCAGAAACAAAATATGACCACTATGAGAAAAAGTATTAATCAGATCAGCTGAAGATCAGAACTTGAATGGAATTCTCTAAAAGTCAAAACAGGGCACCTCTAATGTGATAATGTGTGCTTACAGGCAGAGCTTTGAGGATGTTGACATCAACCACTTTACAAAATCTTGCCACTAACTTTATTGCCATGAAAATCGGAGAGTTAATTAGTGGGTTACTTAAAACTGTAATCTTAGCCTCTAGTGGGCTTATTTAAATCTAATTTCAAAAGGTTCTTAATATTTATTTTAACAAAAGTTTACTTAGAAATTTAAGATTAGAAAACAGTTTCAAGCGTTTCTGGAACTAAAAGTGACCGAGTCTGCTTTCTCCAAGGTCGCTGCATTTCCCTCAGGACCAATCTGTCACTGAAGAAGTTTCTCTCTAAAGCCACTTTCTGATTGTGAAAGCCTAGAATAAATAAAACTTTACTTGGAAAGTGAACTATTGCTTTTTAAAGTAATGTTGGATGATGATAAGTGAATATAATATTTTTTAGGCTTAATGTTAATGATGTCTATTTTACTGGAAACTGAAAAAGTAGCAGGGTGATGTTTTGAATTGGTGCCTTATCTCCTCTTTAAGGGTTTACTGGAAACTCAAGAAAAGAGACAGTTAAAGGGGATTTAGAAATCTTCTGATTTTTTTTCATTTTTGCTAATTGTACTTTATTTAACAGTTCCAATGTGCTGCTGTGGATGGGACTAGATATTTATCAAAAATAAGTCAGTGATAACTTTTCTATTTTGAAACCCTCCACTTCCCTTTTCTAAACAATAAAACCATGGTGCCATTTTAAGATTTCAGTCTTCATACTGCATGTTGTCTCCAGATTTTCTTCCTTCCCTCATGCTAACCACAGATACAAGTGAAGAAAGTATAGCATGATAACATTAATATAAATATATGTAAATGGGGAATGTCTACTTTCACCAGTATGGTATAAAGGATACTTTAAACGGGCATCTCTAGGAAGAGATGCTAATGATTAAGTCTCTCTCTCTTTTTGCTAAACCAGTTGCTAAACATTAGTTGAACATCTTCCCTTAAGACATTTTACATTGCACGGCAAATGTCATTGAATATTTAATGAGACACCCCCTTTGTCAGACTGTCTCTGGGGATGAACCGGTGACTGCTAGCAGTACATATTTTAGACATATTAGCAAAATAAATTAATGCAAATATTCAGAATGATGTCTAGTAATAAAAGGAAAAGAAATATTACTATTTAGTGCCTTATAATGTATCTTAGGGTCTTCCTTATGAATAATTTCAAAAAATTATCTTCATTTTATTCAAGTGTGATAGTAAAACCTAGAGGAAGTAGAGAACAGAGTAAAAGATTCAGTGTCTTACACAGTCCTTAGACTGTAAAGTTGAAGGTAGGAGTTGAATTCATGTCTACTTCATTTTTGTTTTCCTATGTGTTTAACTAGTCACCATATGATTTACCCAGGAAAAAAAAAGAAGATAAATTATTTTATCCTAGTACTATGTTAAAAAAGGAAATTTCCTTGATCCCTTTGGCTCATACTATCCTTTCTCCTCCTCTTCTATAGGAGAAGGGACAGCTTGTTACAGAAAGATTATTTAGTAAACCTCCCGTGAGCATGCTGTCTAGTGAACCACCATCTACACCCAAATGTAAGAGTGTGAACTACAGCCACCATAACTGACATTTGGATGAGTCAGCAGGTTGAGAGGCACACTTATGTATACATGGGATTCTTGTCATTTCCTGTAAAACAATCAGAACCAGTAATTTAGACAGAGGAAGAGGGATGGTATCAACTGGATTTTGTCACCCTAACATCCAGATATTAAAACTGTAATACACAAAATTATATAGTATTTGGAGTTTAGGCCTGTGAGACCTAATTAGTTTTAGGTCTCCATCTCATATGATGGAGACCATGAAATGAAATTAGCTCCCATGTAAAATGAGAGACCAGAGAGCCAGCCTTCCTCTTTTTGCCTCTCTGCCAAGAAGGTCACCATGGAAAGGTTGCTGCTCACAGTCAGGTCAGGGGGCACTGCCATTGGACTAAATCATCCAGCACTTTGACCATGGAATTCAGCTTCTCAAAACGTGAACAATGAGCTTTCTGTTGTTTAAGTCACACAGTCTTTGGTATTTTGTTATGGTAGCCCAAGGAGGCCGTTGGAGAAAAGTTATTGAAGATTTGAGAAGGTATGTAAATATAACATAAGAGAATGTAAAGTGAACCTACCCAGCAAATGGAAGAGTAGTTTGACAGCTGACCTCTTTCTTTTTGGATTTGTTGGGACTTTTACTTTTAAGTTTAGAGTGAGATTACATAGTATGGTTTCAGACTTAATTCTAGAACTTTTCAAGTGTTTCAATTCAGACATCAGTACTGAATATCTAGGTAGGAATTACAATAATATGCATGCTACATGAGGGGCAGAAAGGGGATTTTTAAAACATAAACAAATATACATAGAACTCATCAGTGTTGGCCACACCTACTAACAGTTGTGAGCTCAAGATATACATGATTCAGTTAAAAGAGCTGAGATGTTGAGGGCTTTATGATGTGTCTGATTGGCTAGGCCAAACTAAATTTCACAGAATTTATTTTCTTGTATATTTGCACTTACCATGAGCCAACACTGGTATGTTTAGGGGATTTGGGAAACGGTCTTTAGGAAGAAGCCACTATGTCATTACTACAGCATGGTACTGTTATAAAGCCCTGGAGACAGAAGCTCTCTAGAACCTTCCTTGACCCTCTCCTTCTACCCCCACAGTTCTGTATCCCACTCCACAAGGTAGGGTGCCCACATACTGTGTAGGACACTCACCTCATCCAGATGACAGGAAGCTAACATTAGCATGAGTTTTGTTTTATTTTACTTTGCGGGGGTTCTTGTTTGTCTTTATTTCTCTGTGCTGCGTCTTCACTTCCCAACTTTCTGCTCTACGGACTTCAGGCTCCAGTGTTGGAAAGAAGACAGAACAGCACTTATAAAGATGCTTTGCAGTCCAGCTCACAGGATTCGGCAAGATCCAGTTCAGAAACAAACCCCCAGTTTACATATAGCGTTCCTGCTTCCTTCAGAGAATCTTCTCTGGCACCATGGATCTGGAACATAGGCCATAAGCTGAGATGGTTAACTATTATACAGGTGTCTGTTTTTGCCCAACTCACTTGGGTGTTGATCAGGGATAAAGTAAATCCCCCTGGTTATGTCTTAGAATTTAGAAGGCCAGGGATAACAGTTGAACTGTCAGGCTCTGACAGAGCATACGGCTCTGTGCTGAGTCTTTAAGGGTTTGATGAGAGAGAAAGAACAGCCCTTAGAGTGATGCCGAACTCTGAAACATTACGCAGTCAATTTGCACAAAAGGTCTACAGTGAGAAACTATAAACCGGAGTACAAGATGTTCATTCCAGATGGCAAGAATTAAGTGGAATTAACTTATAATTAAGGCTAGAACAAATGGTACATGTGTGCTAGATATATTTTCTGTTCACATAATGGCTGATGTAATCACTCTAGTCCAGTGAAGCGGGCAGTGGTATGCCTATTTTTCAGGTTAGAAAATGGAGTTGTTTAGGGAACTTGTCTAAGGTCACAGTCTGAGTGTTAAGGAAGTGAGAACTGGCTCTTCTGCTTATTTGTATTTCCTTTTCTATGAACCTTGTGTTAGAGAAGCAAAGGTAGGTGACAGAATGGGCCACTACCTATGAAATGCTCTTCCAAAGCAAAAAGAAAAGCAAAGCAAAACAAATCAGCAAACAAAAACAGAATCAATGCAACTAAGTAAATGACCACAGACAACTGGCAATCAAGAGGGTCAGCTCCCTAAGAAAACTTAAGTTCATTATTCTTGGGTGTTCCTAGGTTGACGCAGGCTGGCAGAGTGGCCAGGGATGGGCCATTAAAACTTGTTAAGGAGGAAAAAGCAAGGCAAATCCTGCTTAATTGGCTCACCTGGTACTTGGGGGCATTCTGGTGCATCTCACGGATGACTGCTTTTAGCTTATTGTTATGCTGAGAAGTCAGCATAGTGTGATAATGGGGAAAGCAGGGCTTGCATTGCTCTAGGAGACTTATAAACTAGCCCTCATGTTATTAAAACATAAGGATAGCAGTGATGACTAGACCGTGCTTACCCCTGAGGAGCAAGGAGAGGATGTATGTGTAGGATGGGGGGGACTAGGGGATTACTTCGTGTTGTCAGAATTGGAGATGGGGCCTTTGGGAGGTTGACCTTGTCCCAGTGGATGGCTCATCACCTGTAAATAAATATCGCAGAACAAATTGGACTTGAGGAGTTATTAATGACAATAAATGAAGAGGACAAGAAGCTGGAAAGGAGACAGATTGGGAGGGAGAAGGAGGAGTTGAAGGGAGGTAGTGGTAGATGGACATGGTGACCACAAATTGTACAAATGAATGAAAGTTTCAAGAAATACACAAAATATTATTTTTAAAAGTCCTATAAGGTTTTCAAGGGTTTGTTTCACAGACATATACACAATTTTAGACATGTACTGAAATTCAGGGTTGATATGGAATTCCCCTCTGTATGCTGTGAATATGTTTTATTATCATTGGTTATTAAGGAAGCTGCTTCGGCCTGTGACAGGGCAAAATATAGCCAAGCTGGAAGAGATAGAGAGAGGAAGTAGGTGGAGTCAGGGAGATGCCATGTAGCTACCAAAGGAGAAAGACACTGGAATGCCAGAACCTTACCAGTAGGCCACAGCCTCGTGGCAATACACAGATAAATAGAAATGGGCTAATTTAAGATGTAAAAGCTAGCTGCTAGCTAGAAATACGTCTAAGACATTGACCAAACAGTGATGCAATTAATGAAGTTTCTATTTTGATATTCTTGTCTGGGCAGCTGGAAAACAAACAAGCAGAATCTGTTTATACAAGGTGGGCTCCCGTTCTTCAATGACAAAATTAATGAAGATGCTAATGATCCTTCGATGAGAACCTTTGGGAGTGTGTCATGGAATGCCCCGGTCATTGCTAATGGCAGTTAATTGTTGATCTTTTCAAACAGTGATTCCACCACTCATCCTCCCATAGCAAAATAGCAATGAATGTTGAAGAGAACTATTATATTTGCTGAAGTTCATAGGATCATCATCAATATTTGTAAACAACTGGGAACAGACAGAATGTCCAATGCTAAGAAAATGATGAAATGACTCCTAGGACATTCTCACCATAAAATTTTTATTTATTAATTTATTTATTTATTAAAGATTTCCACCTCCTCCCCGCCTCCCTTTCTCCCTCCTCACCTCCCCCTCCCTCTCTAGTCCTAAGAGCAGTCAGGGTTCCCTGCCCTGTGGGAAGTCCAAGGTCCTCCCCCCTCCATCCAGGTCTGTAAATGTGAGCATCCAAACAAACCAGGCTCTCACAAAGTCCGTCCATGCAGTAGAATCAAAGCCCAGTGCCATTGTCCTTGGCTTCTCAGTCAGCCTTCATTGACAGCCACATTCAGAGTGTACAGTTTGATCACATGCTCCATCACTTCCAGTCCTGCTGGCCTTGGTGAGCTCCCATTAGATCAGTCCCACTGTCTCAGTGGGTGGATGCACCTCTCATGGTCCTGACTTCCTTGCTCATGTTCTCCCTCCTTCTGATCCTCATTTGGACCTTGGGAGCTAAGTCCAGTGCTCCAATGTGGGTCTCTGTCTCTATCTCCATCTATCGCCAGATGAAGGTTCTATGGTGATATGCTAGATATTGATCAGTGTGGCTATAGGATAAGGCCAGTTCAGGCACCCTCTCCTCTGCTGCCCAAGGAACAATCTGGGGACCTCTCCTTGGACCTGGGAACCCCTCTAGAGACAAGTCTCTTGCAAATCCTAAAATGGATCCCTTAATTAAGATATTTACTTCTCTGCTCCCATGTCCATCCTTCTTCCATCCCACCCGTCCCATTCTTCCAAGCTTTCCCAAATCCTTCCTCGCCATAAAATATTAAGTGCCAATAAAAATGTTTACAAAACTGTAAAACACATGGACAATGCTAATGCACTAATATTAAACAAAATGGTAAGTCATAAATCATATACAAGATTTTTATGGAATGATCTTTATACAAGGTAAGATGTTTATTTTGAAGTCCAGGTAGTTTTACCAAATTTTAGAAGACAGAAACTAAAATTATTTTTAAAAATAGTTGAGAATAGCCCGGCAATATCTAGTTTGTTTCTACTGGTGTGAATGTTCAGATTTCTGTTTAATGAATGTTCCAAATGTAAAAACAAAATTATATGAAGTAACAATAGGGAGAATTTAATTGTCAGGAAAAAGAAGTATAATGAACAAGACTGATTCTTTATAATCTATCATCAAGCCCAAAGGAAAGTTCCAGAAATAAAAAGACGCAATGCAATGTTCTTCATTCTTCTATCGTATCTGTTGTAGGAATAAATTTCAAAATAAAACACATAATGGAAATGAAATGTTTTGTATACGTTGTAGAACTAGGTTTAATTTTAATCAGCCGAGTAACACACTTTGTCATGATCGTACAAGCAGGGAATTAGCCTGACCCTTGTTATATTGCCTCTATCTTGCCTTAGTCTACTGGAAGAGACAATATTCTATTGGGAAAGAATGGACATGTGGGGTATAGAGACGGTAGACAAACGTGTTTCAGATTAGGGATTATTCTAGACTATGGTTCCAAGGTGGAATTTCTTATTGGCATGTACAGTCCTTTTCAAAACTATATGATGTAGAAATAATTATTGATTTATGGGCAAGCACTGTTCTCAGTTTCTCTCATGTTTCTGTAGTCACTTAGCTGAGGTTTGGCTTGGAGATTGTTGTCAGACTTTTAATGTGTGACATACTAGCATATTATTTCTTAATTGCCTCTGAAGGACTGGTAGTTATTATTGCTGACCTCATAAGATAGGCTTCAAAGTACAACAGATTGTATTTCTTGTTGATTTCTCTGAAAATAAACTGTTGGTATATTTTAAATAAAGAATAATAAAATAAAACAATGCTATTGAATATATGAAACTTAATTTTCTGAACACACTCAGAAGATAATAAATAAAATATTTTCATCTGTTAAAAAGTATCCTTTATATTATAAGGAATAATAACAAAAGAAAATAAAACCATATTTCTGGAAACCTTTCTTATAGATAAAATGTAAAACAGGACACTGTGTGTGTGGCTTCTCTTGTTCTTGAGTTAGCTACATTGCAGGAGTTTGAACAGTCTGTCTACCCAAACCCTACTATTTTTAGCTCTAAATGTCCATGTTCAGCATTGTGCAATATCCGGTTAACATCACATCTTGGCTGTGCCAGGAATTTTTTGTGTTATATGTTGTTGCTATAGATTTTTGTTAATGCTTCCAAATTTGATTTTATAGTGTTCCTTTTCTCAGTTTCTCGGGATTCTTCTGCCCAGTGTCTTTCTTTTCCATACAGAAAGGAGCCTAGGGATCCTTAAAGGTCTGAGAGCTGAAGCTGTCGCAAGAAGTGAGAAAGTGCTGCTTACACAAAGGTAAATTATGGTTAGGTAAAAAATTTTCTGACAAAGTGAGATACAGTTTTATGAATATTTCCTCATCATATTTGCTGAATATCAGAAGTGTTAAAAAAAGAGTCTTCAATATCAGGCTCCTAAATGTGTCAAAACACCTTGGTGCACACGGTAAGCTTGTGAAAGTACAAGGAGCTCTGTATTTGCCATCACGAGTGCAGTATGGCAGCGGTGGCCGAGACAGGAGCCCCAGCATTTTGCTTAGCTGAAAATAAACTCAAGACATATTTGTTTTGAAATTTAACCAAAAGTACTGAATTTTTAACACTTCCTCATTATAAGCAATATATGACTATGCACAAACCATGGTATACAACATGATTATTTTAATCTGTCATCCTACAATGTGGGAGGCTAAGGGTGAAGGATTGTTATGATGATCTTGAACAATCCTTAACTACATACTGAAATTCTGTATCATAAAACAAGAGCAAAATAAAGCCAACAAAAACACACAACCAAACAAGAAAAGAAAACAAAACAAAACCCAGCAAAACCTAGAGTTTAGTCAGAGAGTACTTTTCTCTGTTAATATGATGACAGTTTCACAGACCCCACAATGGTTGTACTCATACATAACAGGTATGGCCACTGTAAGAAATAAGACAGTGTTAGTACGTCATTTTAGAGTGACATA